ATTACGGTTGTATTTAAATCCGAGAGTGAACTTTCATCTGTTCTCATGTGGATTTCTATAGAATAATATGCAAAAGGTTTAAATAACAATGAATGCGTTAATATTATAATAATATCCTCCAGAACCGAATTGCAGTTACGGTTCAAGAATAGCCCTTCTCAACGGAGACCAGCTATCTGTGCACAAGACAGGATGATAGTGCACAAGTTTGTGCGCAAGCCCAAAAGTCTTAACACGTTCTGTGGGGCACGGAGGTGGAGCACCGCCAAGCTTCTGATTCGAGGCTGCTACTGGGAATTCTTGACAGTAAAACCCAATTATTGATTTTTGTCTGACAAGGCATTCGATAGTTTGAAATTCCTTGTCCACAGAAGCACACAATCAACAAAGTTTCGCTTACAACCTTTGGACTAACGAGAAAATAATGTTTAACATATTGACAAGTAGAGTCCGTAGTACCTACTACGTGTAGTAATGAAAGCTGCGAATGTGTTTAAAAATTTAAATCTTTAGTCCACGTTCATCTCTTTGCGTTTTGCCTGTTATATAGGATTTGTACAATTCCTGAGATTTTGATTGAGGTTCTCAGAAATTTCTGTAGTCGCGATGGCTTTGACCCGTAACGGACCCCTACTCATTTAGAGAGTGGAGTTGCAATTTTCATATTAGAGCGCAAGAAAATAATGTGAAAGCCACTTCAAAGGCTAATTATAATAATATATGGCAATAGATCCCTCAATTGTGGAGATGGAGAAGATCTTCTTCTACGCAAGTCTTGAGGGCATACTCTAATAAGATGCTCTAAAGTACAATATGTATAGAATTAGATAATAAGTGTCGACAGTCAACTTAGTGTTAAAGCGAATTGTAGGCTATAATGACGGCATCGGGCGATCGTCTCTCGCATCAATCTTAGCGATCGTCACTGTCGACTCGGTCTCACTCCCCGCGATTAATCACTGGCCAGAACGTTTTCGATTAGCGCCAGATAGCACCGAGTAAAAAAAAACACAAAGTTCCAATTACGAACGCTTCGTTCCATTTGTTTAACTATAGTGCAAAGGTAAAGGGTTAGGATTTTGCAAACCGTTTTTGTTGGAAAAAGAAGACGTTAAGTAATATGTTTATTCACGTATACCTCTTATTTGAGTTTATTATTTGCACCAGACAGAAAGAGCGCTATAGAAGCTCTGGGATTAAGTGCGAACAAACTGCGTATTTTGGCAAGAGACTCAATTGGAAAGAGCACATGCCTGCCCATCTTGGGTCTAGGCAACTCAAGGGTGTGTCGCTTCTAATACTTAGCGGTAGAAACACCTCTGTACATTCATAACTGATTGTAGGCCCTTTATGTTCAGACGTAGGTAACACTCATCTGGAAAACTACGTGCTTACTAACTACGCTCAGAAGAAGTAAAAATACTCACAACCAAGCAACTCCTTCAATTTATTGAAGATGTAGGTTAGCAGCGAGCTATGGAAATAGCAGTGATCACAATAGATCATACTAGCCACAGTGATGCTAGTCTTATAAGATCTTGTCGTAAAATATTTCAAGGACATGTAAAACCCACAACCACGCATTGCAGAAGCACGGACTTATGAAATGATGGAGTAACTGAATAAAATATTAAATACGAGCAAGCGTTCATTAAATTCGAACCTATAACTTTAAACGAGCAATTCTTGTATATATAATCGGAATCTCGGAAAGGGCTCCAACAATTTTCATAAAATTTAGTGTCCAGGGGGTTTCGGAAGCAATAAATCGATCTAGCTAGGATTCATTTTTATAAAATGTCCTTTTTTCCGTGTTTTTAGGCAATTCAAAACTGTTATAATATAAGAAGGTAAATTTTGACAGTGTATTAATGATCGTAATAGGTCAAGTGGGATTTCAGGCGGTCGCGAAATCGGAGTGCCATGGTTCGCGTCCTATCTCTGGCTTAACTTTTTTTTCCTTTTTTTTTTCAAGTTCCCCTTCTTTTGTGAGAAAATCTATTATTTCGAGCCCTTTTTTTGTATTTTTTTTAAAAATACGAAAATTTAAATTCAACTAATTGCACTCGTGATTTTTTATTCAAATAACCAGTTCAGTTTTTTTTTTCTATTATGTTTATAAGATCAAAAAATATTATTCATGTTTCATCAGTATGCAATTTGTGTCTAAATATAATTTCCAAATAAAATACCGAGGAAAGCTCGGTCATCCAGGTCCTGGTAATAAAACACAAACTTTTCGCGATCGCTTTTCCCGCTAAAACGCCAAATGTATTTTTCGCACGCTCCACATGTGTCCGACACCTAGACTCTTTAATGAGGCGTCATACAAATATATTAGACGGAAACAGGAAGCGTCAAATGGCGTTTCGTTGTTTCCACGGCCCAGTTCCTTGGCGTTAAGTGCTCCGATGTAATTGTCCGGCCAATGCAAATAGTCGGCTGTTTGATCGTCGATGACGGCGGCTCGTGACACCATATTAGAATTTAGAACACATTTGGCCATATGAACTGGACCGGACGGACGGTGCGCGATTTGCTTAGCGGGTTTTTCTCTGTTTGTTTATGATGAAATTCTTCTGTACAACACATTTGTCATTCATTTCTTAGATATTAATCCATTCAGTACATGTTTTAATGTTATCGGTATGCATCGACAATGTGCTAGGTTGTAAATAGTCTGCTACTAGGACTAGGATTTTTGCAGATTGATAGGCGTTTTATAGGAAGGGATGCCTCGTTTTCAGTAAAGAAGGGTATCCGGTTCTCTACATTCACCATACGAAACAGGAGCACTAAACTTCTTTTTTACGCTGGTATTCTCTTAAAATACAATTTGCTTATTAATTAATTATTAAGATTAATTTCGTGTAAATCATTGCTTTATCTCTTATTGTATTTCATAGTTTCGGCTTTTTTATATAAAAAATTACAAGAAGTCATTTATAAAAAGAACACATTCTAACATTCTAAAACAATTCCAAGACTCGTGAAGTTCACCAACTCGCATAAAGGCATAGGGGTGGACTTCTGTGCACTAAAATACTTTTAGAAATGAGTCCTGTTTAAGAACGTATATATAGGCGTATATATAGGCTTTACATATATATATATATATATATATATATATATATATATATATATGTCGAAGATATTTAGTATATAATATTGTTTGTACATACTTCTGTACTTCTCGTTTTATTTATTGTATAAGAGTGACTAAAGATCAAAATATCTAACTGAAATAACAGTTTTAATTGTCTCTCAAGACTCCTCTTTGTGAGTTAGCTGCAATTGTAGATGTTCCGGAGTTGGTACTTACTGTCAAGTCAACTGCACAAGTTCGTTCGTTAGTCTTATATTATAAAGATACATATTTTGATAAAATAGATTCGAAAATAGTCATTCATTCAACTAAGCAACCAATGATTAACTCCGCGCCAATCGAGCGTTACTTTTATCTTTCTGCATATGATTGTTACAAGCACACTATCTGCGTTTTGAATTACAATGTACACTTAACAACCGGATAGCGTAAAATACATTTCAATGTTTTGTTCAATTATACGCGATGGGGAGGCCGATTACAGCCTACATATGAAAACTAAGATTATGTCAACTGGTGTACAGTGTACGTTTAAAATTCTTTCCGAACAAATATCCACTCCAAGAACGATTGGATTTTTTTTTCTTGAAGCAAAAGTAAGTTTTCGAGAATTAATAGCTAATTTTATTATACAGTGAAGCTTCCAGTTAAGACAATAACTTTTGTCTCTAAATTACCACTTATAGAAAAATTCCTTTCGTGTTTATTATTTGATTGAATAACAAATAAACTATAGTAAATAAGGTTTTTACTCTATTATTATATACATTTGAATTAATTTCGTGGCTTTAAACAGTTTTTGATAGCGTTTTATTCTTGAAAGCGTATAATAAAATGCACAAATGCTTTTAATCGCTAATGGGACACTTCCTAATAGCTACTGGTTAATTCATGAGCATTATGTGAGAAAACCGTTAGTTGGTATGTAATGCGACGGTTATGTTTTTCCGGACATGCGGGCGCACATGTCCCACCGCACTGTTGCAGTTCGCTTCCTAGACGGAATATTAATTTCTTTCTTTAATATTCTTACGTTCACTAATGACTAAAATGGTATGTCTCAAAGCATTCGATTATATTGGCTCTGTATGTACTTTTCAGATCAAATTCGGAGAAAGTAAGACGGTACCTGCCATCCCATCCACCACCCATCAAAAACCGAGATGTTAATAAGAAAAAATGATAATAAGCTTTAGCTGGCCACCTTCACTGGGCCAAACCTAATGTGATTGCCCAATGCAATTTACTACCTCGTTGGTCTAGTAAGTCGTGTAGTAGTCGTAATTGCAACTGCTGGTCATATGATCCCCAATTTGAATCTCTGGTCGGGTTAAAATCATTGTAGAATCCAGATATCACCAGCTATTCCTATTATCAACTATTCCTATTACCAACTACTCCTATAACTTTCGCCGAAGTGCAAGAAACACGTAGACAAAGATTTACCGCAATCTGATGAACGGTATGGCAGCCCAAAAATTACGAGCAAGAAACATTATTTTTATATATATAGATATATATTACGATTCAGCGTTTTGAACTATTATTTAGTTTTTAGATTTAAATAGGTACATCGATTAGGGTGATTATATTTTCATAAAATGTTAAAAAAATCATTTGCCTACACAAATAAAAAATCACGAAACGTAAATATAATTGGTAAATATACAAGTAATATCGATAATTTACCGGAATGTCTGTCTTTTGTTTATCAAATGGTTGTCTTCAGAGCAAGAGTGAATACACTTGTAAAGCTAAGACTGCAATTTACTATGGCTTCATTACCACCAACCAACAGGTGAAATTGTAGTCAAGCATTGCCAATTCTACTCCACATTCAGACCTAAAAGGCTTATCATAATAATTAAATAATAACAGAATGTCTTCCTTACAGTTATACGAGATCAGCGACGATCCGCAGCGGAAAGAGTTCCTGGACGATCTTTTCTCCTTCATGCAGAAGCGAGGTTAGTCCCGACCAATAGCTTATTAAACTTTGATTAATTTTCCTGACAATTGATACATCTTGTTATTTATCACCGGCCTTTAAACTCCATTCACGGTCATCGGTCCTTCGAAATGCTCTGTCAAACCGATTTATGTAGAGCTCTCAACTCTACCAATTTGTTTTAAAGTAAGACCTTTAATAACAGTGGAGACGATATGAATCAGAATTTAGTTGTAATGGTTACTTGTTGTATAAACGATTTTATATTGAAGAGATCAGACGCAAGATAGGATGGAGAATGATTGACGTTTACGCTTTATAAAGCTATAGCTTTATGAAGTATAATTAGTCATATTTTTAAATTATCCATGTTATAGCTTGATTTTAGATACTTTAATATCAAATTACTATTTTAGACTTTGTTTAAAATTCAAAATAAGTAATTTTATTGTTTATGGCTATTTATAACTGTCAAGGTAATAACAGTTTTACCGGAAAATGAAAACAATTTTGCAAAAAATGTTTACAATTACGCTTAAAAGTTACATGCTACTTATATTTTGATTGCTGACGAAGAGGCAATGTCTACGTTGAGACCATCCGCTCGACAACGTCACCAAAAACATGTAAGAAGTCTGATGACTGATATTACCAATCCACCTTCTACTAAATCCTCTTATCTCTTGGGACTCTTGACAAGCCCAAGACAATGAAAATAATCAATTAGTTTCTTAAATATTCATATTTTTCTACTTCAAATACATTAGATATCATTTTATTTACGATTTCTATTCTAAACTTTACTTGCGAATTCCTTCATGCGAATTCGAAATAATTAGTGGTGGAGAATTCGCTAAAACATCCTTATCCGCACAGATAATCATCGTGTTTTAAATATCATAATAGAAATAATTAAGTGGGAGATCGTTTTGATCGCTTGGAGCGCTGAGATCGTGCGCGGGCGCATGATTGATAACTATACAACCGATCTTTTCGCACTTGCACTCGCGGTGATATACCGTCGCAGTTCCGCATTAATTGATCTCCGTTGCAAATGGCGCCATCAATGTCGCTGTATGCATCAGCTTGATGTACGGCCGTTCAGCTGTTAGTCCAACTCAAATCAATAGTTATTGTTTTAGATGACTCAAGATCGATACAGTGTGTGTATATCTCGCATTTATTACGGAACGCTTTTAAAAGCCTAGTCTAGAATCTCTAGTTTTATGATTATTATCTGAATGAATTGCATTCAACGAGGGATGTTATTTTTTATCTGTTTCTCATAAAATATAATTAAAGATAAATAATAATATATACCTTTTTATTAGAATATTAAACCCAAATTGTACTTCTATTAATTCTTTCAGGTATGTTTCATTTATTATTTAAAAAAAATGTAGTCGCCGTTTAATTATTTAGCGATGTTGCAAGTGAAAAAAAAAAACACAAACGTATCGTTCTCCGTTACGATCCGTACCTATTATATAACAAGTGCATATATTCGATTCACATTTTACGACGTTGTAAATTGCCGTATTTTGTTTCATAAATGATTTTCCATGCACTATTGTACTCTGAATGGTAACGATACGTTGTATAAATATATCATATTAGACTTTTTATGATTCACATCTGTTGAGCTTAATCAAAGTTAATGAAACATGTTTTACTTTTTATGTTTTACTGATATTGTATTAGCAATTGCTTAATCCCGCCAATAGTTTGTAAGGCGGTGCCACTGTCCACGCTCCGAAGTTTACAGCGTAAATGTAATTGAAACAGAATGCTGCCGTGGACGCGTCTCACACCGTTTCGTAACGTGAAAAATATTTAAAACTTTTCTATTTTAATAAACTGTTATTTAAGAATGCTTAATTATGATGGAATTATTAAGTTATATGTGCGAAATCATAAATCGTTGGCCATTGCTCCCTGTGCATCATCAAGTCTTTTATCGCACATTCGCAATAGCGTTACATTGGCAGGTTGGGAAGAGTGAACGGTTCCGTGTGCACACATCAAGCACTTTCGCCTTAATAATATCTGCGCAATTAATAACTTTTAATATTCGGCATTTGCCGTCCTGTTCGACAGACCAGGCGTTTAATAATTCTTAGTTTATATCATTAATTATATATAATGATTTTTTATTATTAATACAATGCTAATAAAAGGCGTGATTTAACATTTTTTAAATACAATATTTTCGCTAACTGTAATGAATATGGTAATATTTCCTTTAAATTTAAAAGAAAGTTGTGCTCTAGGGCTGGTTGTTTGGTTTTAATTTCAATAAAAATCAATGTAATTGTAAAGAATTAAACTGTGATTTTATTTTACGTTTAACTATATTCATAAAATAAGTATTGGTCAACGGTGTGATTTTGCTCTTAGCCGTTGAGTGTTGAGGATCGCGATCGGAACCAGTCCGGCTTATCTCGTTTGGAATAAATTATTATTCAATTTATCACCCCAGATCGTGGTCAACAAACTTCTGGTTATTATTACGCGAAGTCCGATAACGCCGGGAATTAATTGTGTTTTTATTTCGATTTGTACCTTGACGTTATCGCTATAGCGATTAGAATCCAATGAGGCTTTATTTTATTCTTATTTTTTATTTATTAAAAATAATAATTAATAAGTTTTTACGTGGTAGAGCCATGTTGCAGCTATGTTGTGGCTGCAGCACGAATGGGTCGGCTCGACCGGGGTAGGACCACGCTCTCACAGAATACCACCGTAAAATAGTAGCTTAATGGTGCTGTGTTTTGTATGGTGAGGGTAGAGAACCGGAGACCCTTTTTAATGGAAACGAGGAATTCCATCTTAGTTCTCAGGGCTGGCAACGCATCTGCATTTTGATTTTTAATTGAAGATAAATGTGGATGTCTATGGGCCACAGCATCCACTTAACATCAGATGGACTGTGTGCTCGTTTGTCACACTTATACTATAAAAAATAAGTGTATTTATTTACCCGATTGGCACTCCACTTCCACTTAGAATCCTTCGACTCATGCTAAACTCCGCCGACAGAGCAATCATGACACTGAGATAATTAAACAAAGAAACATAGATACTTTTATGGTTATAATATCTCACAGAACCCACGCTAATTAAAAAAGAAAAAGGAATGATAATTCATGGCCTATATTATGAAAATATTTTATAATCCCTAAAAAATTAAATTTCATCCAATATACGTTCCAATGCCACTGCAGTGAGGGCGTATGGGACCTCACTGCCCTTATCATATAAGTAAAATAATTCTTCTTCGTTGACCGTGGGTCTTCAACGTTATAGGGAGGTCATCGCGCAGTCACGCGTTTCGATGATCTTAGTACGAAGCGTTTCAAACTATTGACGCTCCTGTTTATTTTATTGTGTATTGTTCTCATTAATATTGCTAATAAACTGTAATATCTTACAACTTAATAACTTAATTATAAAGAAATAAAAAATATTTATATTATTTATTTACTACTCGAGAGACTAGACAACAAACAAGTGATAAAATTATAAATTTCGTACAACCGACTTCAATATAAATTAAATTAGAACATCATCAATGTATTCAAAGTCAATTAAATGCGCATTATTAAAGTTAACTCAAAAACTACTTGTCAGATCTTGATCAAATTTATATGAGACCACATGAGAAGCACCAGCTTTTATATAAAAGAAGAATCATCAAAATCAGTTCACTTAAAAAAATTCTTAGGCAACATATTAAAAAAATCGTATCGTCGAATTGTGTACCTCCTCTTTTATGAAGTCGGTTAATGTAGGTAATGCAGCTCGCATAGCTTTAGGCGACTGACGATAATTACTATTTTATACTCGCATGTCATAGCAAACATCAAGTTTTAATTAGTTAGAATTAATTTATTCGAGGTAGGTTCCTCGCACATGTGAGCCGCCATCACTCCTTATGATCTCCGAGTATTAATAATGTTTTATCATTTATTATTGCTCATGAGTAATGAAAGTTAGTCTGCCACGCCCCGCGCCTTCTCCACGCTCAGTCTTCGTCTCGGGTCGAAAAAAGCAGATTAAAAATAATATACGTTTTTTTATTTTTTATTTTTAATCAATCACGGACTCAAGCGTTTAATATGAAGACAGCGACAAACGATTATGTTAATTCTAATTAAAGCGCAGTATACCTAACTTTGTGGGTGGTTCATCAAATTGTCCATTACTAACTTATCGATTAGAATTCATTATAAATGATCATTTTTGGCGAGAACAATTTTTATATAGTATTGTACTAAATGTACATTGTAACAAAATAGACGATAAAACATTAAAAAAAACATGATAACCGGCACTGTAGCTTTTTGTTGCAACTTTTGCTGAGCTGGCCACTATTACAGTACTAATAATTGAAGTTAAAAATGTTAAACTTTCATTTATATTTTTTTTTGTATTTATCTCATTAGTATGTTTAAAAGTATCTTTCTCTCTTTATTTATATTTTATACAAACTCTTGCTTGATTACTGTCACGGTTGCAGCTTTTGCTGAGCTGGCCACTATTACAGTACATAATAGAAGTTAAAAAATTTAAAGTTTCATTTATATTTTTTTATATTTATCTCATTAGTATGTCTAAAAGTATATTTCTCTCTTTATTTATATTTTATACAAACTCTTGCTTGATTACTGTCACGGTTGCAGCTTTTGCTGAGCTGGCCACTATTACAGTACATAATAGAAGTTAAAAATGTTAAAGTTTCATTTATATTTTTTTATATTTATCTCATTAGTATGTCTAAAAGTATCTTTCTCTCTTTATTTATATTTTATACAAACTCTTGCTTGATTACGGTCACGGTTGCAGCTTTTGCTGAGCTGGCCACTATTACAGTACATAATAGAAGTTAAAAAATTTAAAGTTTCATTTATATTTTTTTATATTTATCTCATTAGTATGTCTAAAAGTATATTTCTCTCTTTATTTATATTTTATACAAACTCTTGCTTGATTACGGTCACGGTTGCAGCTTTTGCT